GATTTCATTTTTCTTGCACCAGCCTACCAACTTCAGTTTAATAAACACTAAGCCTTTGACATTTTAAGGCATGGACAAACTTATGCATGGGTCGTTTTTTCTTTTAGATTTTGGGTCTCATCTTTCCACTAGTTTGATAGATTAGGTTTTGTGGAATTAAACAAGTCCAAAATTCACATTTAGGAATTTATTTAAGTGCATGTTGTCCAACGGAAATTGGTGCTTAATGAGATCTAGAACGACGTCTAGCAAAAGCCACAAACCTCACCATGCTCTAGCAACCACAACTACTAGACCATCATCTCATACTATTTCTATAAAGAAAAGGAAAATATTTAAATTAAGTGAATGTCTCTATTTAAAAACAAACAAACAAAAAATTCATGATGTGATATTATAGTATATAGTATATCAGAAATCTGTTCACTATTTTTATTACAAATTATATCAGTAAGGAAGCTGACTAAATATTCACTGATAATTTATGGGACAGGGGTGGGATTAAATAAGTGTATACTTCTTCCCACTCCCTTTCAACATGTAAATTAATCAGAATGTTTTTTTGTATGTAATTTGTATAGTATATTTTTTTTTCTCTCATTTCTTTTCTAAATGTACTTGTATATTGTTCACATGTTGAAATAAATTACCAATCAATCAATACTTCCTCTATTTCCAGCACTTTGATCCCAGAAACCTTGGGTTATTTACATATATTTGTATCTTATAATCAGCTAGTGTGTCTCTAGTAGCTTTCATCCAAAAAATATACTTCCTTGTTCTGTAGCTACACAACATATTGGTTAATGAGTTTACCACTACTGGTCATTATTGATCATCTATAAAATTTAAGACAGCAGATCAGTTTGATCTCTTTCAGGAACAAGAGACAAACAAGAGATAGAGTCTACACCAACTTCTTACCCATTTAATAAACTCCATCCACTGAACTCTGTGATCTGTAGGCAAGAGACCAAAGATTTTAAGCAGCAGAAGATTTCTGCATTGCATTTTCTTGTAGAAAATCAGTTTGCATGAAGAGCAAAGCAGGGATGGTATTTTCTGAAATGCACTGGATAGTGATCAACTATTGAGTTAAGTGATTACTGGCATTTTCAAATTATCTGTCTTGGTAAACAATGACTGGTGCAAAAGCCAGAAATGTTGGCATGGATACCTGCTGGCTGCAACAGAGACCCCGACAAATTGTCTGGTGCCCCAAGAGCCTGAAGTGAGCAGACGAGCTGATGTATTTCCAGACTGTGAAATCAGATTACGGCTGCGTTTAGGCTGAGTTCATTATTAAAACGACAACAGTTTGTTTTGTTGCTCTCAAATTCTGTGGCCTGTAGTATTAAATCCATGTTTGTTGTTCCAGGAACTGAAACTACAGCCAAATCAACCAGGATCAAAAAGATCCTTCCAGATTATTCTGTCCTCTTGAAGTAGCAATGTCAGGAAGAAAGAATGTGCAAATCTTAAAGTAACGTTCACACACACAAACAAACACTTGATTGAAACATGTCACCAGCAAAACAGCCTGTGAGTGAAAGTGGGTGGCCTACTGATGATGTGCTCTGCCTGGCACCCTGCATGTCTACAATGTGTTTGGGTCCCGTGGCCCTGCAGAGCAGCATGAGTAGCAACAAGGGCACCTCTTCACAACCAGGCCCAGCTGCCTCTCCAAAGTGAAGGAGGGAGGGAGCAAGGCAGTTTCAGGCAGGCATCCAAAGCTGGGCATGAGTCAAAGCCGAATACGCACAGACACCACTGTGTCTCACAAGATGAGGCCGTAAAAACTCTATACATTCACGACGGGACAAGGAAATGACACACAGCGCAGGTGAGGCTCTGCTTTATGTATCCCAGACAGCAAAGCACAAAGTCATCATTTCGCTTTAACTGCCCGTTCATCACAAAGCCCACGCTTGGCTGGACATTTCCCTGAACACCCATATTCTGTGCAACACACCTGCTGCCCGCATCGCTGTTCCACTACTTTAAAACATCTGCATGCTAATGAGCAATAACTCACTCTGTGAACAGCATGGGAGCAGGTGGACTCTGAATAGTGTTGGCAAAGTCACCTTTGATGAGGTAAAATAAGTGAATACAACACTACAAGGAAATGAATAGAGAAAAAGAGACATATAAAAAAAAAGCCTTAAACTATAAATTAGGTAAAATAAAAACAGGAGAACGTGGAACTGCACTGGGGTATCAGGTGGGGTGTCACTTGAATATATGTATTTAAAAAAATCTACATTTATTTTATGTAACATACTATGTGGCAAAGTCACAACAGTTGCCTAGCATAGGAGAAAGGGAGCAAGCAGGGAATCATTTAGGCTACCGCTATCATGGAAAAGTGGACTGAGCAAATTAAAGTGTCAAGTCATAACATTTACCTGGTCCTCTTTTTTCTACTTTGTTGTTCTAATTCTTTCAGGCTGCTTTATGTGTGTAAAAAACAGTTTACGGTAACACCAAGCTAATGACATTCATTAGCTAGTTGTAGCTCGTTTCTAAAAACATCGTAACAGTACAAAAAACCCTCCCTGATGATTAGGCCCAGCAGGGGGTCAGTTTAGACCTGGAATAACTCAGCACCAACAGTGTGGTAATGATGGCAGAGAGATGACAACCTAACTTGGCCTCTCAAGGATTGAGTTGCTCTGCAAGTGCCAAATACTTTGGAATTTGGCCTTTAGAGAAACTATGGTAGTAAAATTGCAGAAGATTAACTGTACTTCCCAAATAAACACTGGGTAAACGTTATCAAGTGTTTGTGAGACTAGATAGCCATCTCACCAAAGTGATGCTTATGTTGAAGTAAATTTAAGTTTACAAGTAGTCGTCCTGCTTTCCTGCTACAATTACAACATTTTTTTCATCATGTACTGCAAATGCAGTATGAACTGTGCAAACCCCTCCTGAAAACCTACTCCTTTCATAATGCACTGCATCATCTAACCCTTTAAAATTTCTTCAATAAATTAGCCCAAGGCACTAAAATGGCATTTTCACAAATGTGCAAATCCTGTTACCTCAGACTCGGATAAGTATTCCTAACACTGAAAGTGCTCCTACTTCCCTGAATATGTCAAAGGAGGAAAACTGTGACGATATATTCAGATATGTTGTTTGCCGCAACAGCAGGTAATGGCATAAAGTACATATAGCTCAGCAAGAAGTTTTTCCACTAATTAGGATTTTCTTTCCTGGTTATCAGTGTCTGAAACTGTGTTCAAAGTTCAGTTTCACTGAGCACACAGAGAGCATCGGTAGTCCCCATGTGGGATGAGTGTGAGATCATCAGAGCAGGTTTAGGCTGTAAATCAGCTTTAATGAGCACACTCAAAGCCCATCCCTGTCAGCTACATACAGCTTAGGATGTCTACCACATGAACAGGGCTGATCTTATTTAATTAGCTTTGAAAAAAAGTGTAACTCTGACCTTAAATATATTATAAATCCTTACTTATCCAGAACCTTCGAGCGCACCTTTGTATTCATATTACTTTCTTTTTTGTGTGGTCAGTAAGTAAGAGTTAGAAGTCACAGAGTGTTTACTATATATCTGTATTTGTTCATTCAGCAGCACAACAAATATATTTGTCCTGTTTAGTTGCCAACAAATTATTTCAATCATCATATCACACGTTCAAACCTCAGTGATTTTTATTACCAGAATTTTGCCAGTACCTGCAAATTCCACTAATTACTTAAATATAGCATGTTGTTGTCCATTTTATAAATATATTTTTAATGTTACTGTTTTTTTGTTTTTACATTATGTTAAAAACACCATATTCAGCTACAGTGACTCTTTGAGACTTGCATTTAGTTTGTTTGTTTGCACATAAATACTGATTAGGCTATATGTTAATGACGATAAACAAGAAAAAAAATGTTTAGAACCCATCTGACTTAAGCAGAAGATTTCTTTTAAATACAAAATTAAAACTGCAAATGATAAAACAGTTAGTTGTAATGTTTTACCTGTTCAGCTGCTATCTGTCAACTTACATTAACTAATAAGGAAATACCATAGATTAAATCATTCTTTGTAAACCCCGTTTATCTTGATTTGGTGCCAGCTTACCAGCATAGCTCCACTGTTCCATCTGTGCCTCATAATTAGGATTATATCAGACAGAAAATAGACATTAGACTTATCTAAGCAGCTCAAAGTCAGAGGTCTAGATCTGTTAAAGTTAAATTGGACTAACTTGTTTTATTGAGGCATGATATCATCAGTAGTGGGATTTCACTGCTATTGGAACTGACAATAATTTCTGGTATCCTTATAATATTCCAATAAAGATTCACATTCAAGGCCAGAAAGTCTAAAACAGAAAGTTTCAAACGATTTCCTGTCTTCTGTCTAGACCTCTGAGTCTGCTTCTCACCAGCTTTGTTCTGTTTTGGATCCCCACATGTCGGCACATGGAGCAAACACAACCACACACACTTGGCCTACAAATACACCCACACAACCCAGACGCGACCCAGACGTGAGAGCTGCCCTGAGTTTTTGTCACTCTGCACATGAGGCCTGTCATTTTATAGCCGTCCTTGAGAACACTCAACACCCCCCATTTTGGGGCAGACCACTGCTTCATAAGAATGGCACGGGCTGATGGACAGCTCCAAAGGAGGTGCCGACTGGGAGACGTAGGCGGTTTGTGTTGGGGGGATGCCCAGTGTCCTTGAATATTTCTTTGTGGTGACAAGTGAGGCCAAAAGCCGCTAATGACCACAGCGTAAATGTGGACGACTGAAAATTTCTTTAATTAATCACTTTTCAGTTTGAAGTAAAGAATAGGCTCATTTAGCATGACAAGAGACAGACTGCGCTGCAGCACGAGATCCATTATTAAATCAGATTACGGTGTGTGGTATAACCTCAACAAGTTAAATTGTAGGAATGGAGCAAAGAGCTCAGCGCTGTGTGCAGCCCAAGGGAAGGTCACATGGAAGAGTTAAGTTTCACTCACCTCATTGGCTGAGTCCGAAGTGCTGTCTTCAGATCTTCCACCACCTTGTTCCTCATTTCCATTTCCTCCTCGTCAAAGGCAAACAAAGTCTGCATCTGCAGATAAGAAGAGAAATGGAGATTTCACTGGACAAATAACAGATTCATAGAGTTCAATTCCAACTCTACATCAAGTGAGAATGTTACCTGCTGGTAGTAATTTGGTACTTTCCATTTTTAATTAGAGCAGGGCTCCTACAGCCCGAGGAAAGTTGGGTTTAAGACTTTTTTAATGCCGCTCAGAATAAAATTTAAAATCAATTTCACACAAACCAAAAACTGAAGACAAACAACATCAACTGATTGGGGTTGTTTGGTTTTTGTGGTTCAGTCGAATCTCTCGTCCAACAAGCTAATTTATGTAGGCTGTTGATACAGACCAAATGCACGCAACCACATGGCAATTTTGGGAACACTGCACGAGATTTCACTCTCAATTACCATTGTGCATATGTTTTCTGCAAGAAATACACCATGACTTGTATGTTACCTGACATGAGACATTACAACAGAGAAATATGGACTTAAACAACTCAAATTCTTAAGGATGTGGTTCTCCCAACCTTGAATGCAAAGAGCCAATCAACAAAACAAATGGCTGATCTTATGTCCTTGAGCTGAAGGCAGCTGCATTTCTTTCTGAGGTTTTTAAGACATTTTACTTCTCATGCAAAAGGCTTCTTTGGTTCTAAAAGATGATGTGGATGATGAAGTTGGTCTAAGGTGACAACCCCACGAGAGGTTAAATATGTAGGGCTTCTTCAAGAACCTAAAAATGAAGTCCAGTTGCCTTGAACTCAAGCACCTATTCTGAGGTTCCTGCCCAAAATGAATTAAGTATTTCTCTGCAATTACAAACTCTGTATAAACAATCCTGGTATCAAAATAAAGCTAACACTTGTGAGACTTCATCAGCGTTGTAAATATTACAGCAGATGCTAGTTTGTCAAAGCAGCTGAGGATGGAAAATAGAAAAATAAATTTTTTTTCCTGTTCTTTTTCCTGTATTTTATAGCATATAAAACCTTTGGACATATCCTGCGGTACACAATAAACTCCACAACATCATGAATCAACATATTGACATTATCTGTACAAAGACTGATGCTGCTGAAGTGAAACACAGCAAAGTTACAGAGATTTTAATGAAGGCGTAGCCAGGCATTTTGCAATTTGTTACATTTTGCCACAGTCTGTGAGAGTTTAATTTTCTTAAGTATTGAAGAGCAGAAATGACGCTAAATCTTTCTTTACAAGCCTACAAAATGCTTGTTTTTGAATATTTTTGGAAGAATTACCCCCCCCCACACACACACACACAGGCATAATGGTCCCTGCGTGATCGTAATTTGCACAGCGAAAATAGTCTTTAGCACTTTTTGATGGCCAATAACTTTGGCTTCTATTGGCCATTTTGCATGACTGACCCTTCTCTTGAATCATTTGAGCCAATAGAATGACAGTAACATCAACACATTTACAATCACAATTTGCAAGGCGAGAAATACACGTGAAGCAAAATGTACAACACTCTCCGTCATCCAATCACATCTCTGTATCTGGGCAGAAAATCTTATGACAGGAAACAACTCTGAGGCGTTGTGGGAGATGACTGCAATTTTTAAAATGTTTTCCCTCTAAAAGTATGTTTATTTTTTCCCCCCCCCACTGCAATTTAGATTTCTACTAGACTTGATCAAAAATATTCAATGCCTCTGTCTCTTCTCAGGGACAATGCTAAGAAAAACTAAAAGAACAAAATTAATCCTACATCTTAACTAGATTAATGAGTAGATGTATTTGCTATCACACTGCAGCTCTGTTTATTGCAAACATTTTCGATATAGTGTCAGTGCTGTGCGAAATTACATGCAGTTTTATTGTACATGCAGTGATTACTGTATATGTATGGTTCTTTATTTTTTCCCTTTTAATGTAGATATTTAGATGAAAGCTACTTAATATCTGACTGGAGACATTATGAAGACTGCTCCCATGAGACGAGATTCCTAAAAGAACCAGTTTCAGTCAGGCTGCTTTCCTGATCTTGATGATACAAAAAACAAAGGTTCTTTTTTTTAATGTATGTTTCCAATATTTACAAAACTTTCCATTTTATGATCAGAGTGTGTTTTGCCTCTTGCTCTGTGCAATGTTAATTTTTTATGTCTGTTAAAATTTTAAGATCAGATTGATTTAAGATATTTAAAGACTTTAAGGGTTCACGTTATCCACAGACACCGTGTCAGATCTTTTCGGAGCTTATCTTTAACACAAGAATATTAATTGTAATTTGGCAGCAATATGACTGCAACCACACATTTAGTGTCTTTAGTGTGATTATATATGATACTAGGACTAATTGGAACAATCAGAGACTCATTAGCAGACTTATACTTCTGGCACCACAACTCAAACAGATTGTGTTTGAAGCTACACAACATACCAAAATAAGTTATGCAGACAATCAGCTCTAATCAACCTAAAAAGAATAGTAATAGTGATAATGCATTTCTGCATCACTTCACTGATTTTGTCTGCAGTATCAGAGAGCAGTCATGCTCTCATTAGTCAGTGCCACAGGCCTTCTGCTTAGCATCTCCAGGCTTTTTCCATGGTAGCTCACTACCAAGCACCGAGGCCAAACAGTGCATGTTTCAGCCAGTCACAGTGCTGCCCATTCATTTCCCTCAAAAGATACTTGTTTGCGATTGCTTTCAAACTTTAAACCTTAAAATTTTGGTACAGCTCGCTCATTCATTTCTAAATAAGTCTTGTCTTGTGATGATCAAGCCACTACAAAAAAAACAAAACAAATAAAACCATCAACCTAAAAGTTAGCTTGATGGTTCAATACCCAGCCCCTGCAGTCTGCAAGTGGTGCTTGCACAAGTGCTTAACCTCAAATCGTCCCAGATGTGTGAGTGTGTGTGAAAGCGTTTAAAAGCGCAGTATAACAAGGTTTGTGGACCTTGGAAAGAGACACTGTTGTTTGGTTCTACTAAGGCAGCTTTTTGTTGCTTTGAGGAGTCATAGACAAATGCCATTGGGCAACTTAGACCAAGGCAAAAATAAAAGACCGGAGGAAGAATAGGTAAATTTGATTTGGGGGTGCACTGTCCCTTTAAAAAGTAACACACAACCCCCCACCCGCCGTTTGTAGAATTATTTTATAGACTGCCAACTAGCTACCATGACATATCTAACTGAATCCTGACCCAATGTTTGATTTTCCAACAAGAGCTCAGATCTGTCCAGTGTGCGAGAGTGTTTAATATAGAAACGGTACACTCAAAACATCCATCGTGTCGACTTAGCCTCAAGTACAGATGGTTCAGGAGCCCTGTGCCAAACGCTCTGGCTCCTGTTGCTCTAAATGAGCGTGTTCATAGTCAATGGGAAGTTGGACACAACAAGTGTTGGGCTGAGTGAATGATTGGGTCGTGCTGTGAGCCAGTTCACCGTGTCAGTGAGTCTAGCCAAATGGCTCCTTCCTACATCTGCTATTAGTAAGCTCACCCGTACCTGTGGCCAACATGCACATAAGGATATCATTAGAGCCAGTTGGTAAACCAGCAGACGGTACTTCCCTAAATCCTTATGATGGGAAATGCCCTCCCCCCAGCCAGAACTATGCCTTTAAGCTAGTCATAAGAGCGTCGTTAACAAAGATGAATGCTACTAATCGAAGTCTTAATGTGGGCCATGTGGATCATTGATGCATCAACCAAGAAAAAGAAAAGAAAAGGAAAAAAAAAGAAGGGATGAGTTTAATCTAAACCAAGACAAACTAAATTTTGTTAACTAAAACAAAATAATTTAGTGAAATCCAGCTGCCATCGTATCTTCCACCATCAGAAGATATTTGGAAGGCTTACGTCAAGTTGCATTAAAAGTAAACGTATATGTTTATGTTTCATATCTCGTCAGACTAAAAAAAATTTCTCGTAATTTATCATAGCCTGCATTTAAGCAGTGAAGTGACTGTTTTTCTTTTAATACCTAACATCAGATGTCAGGGACACTGCACGCTCATATGGTAGCAACTTGTCAGTCACCTAATCCCAAACTTTATCATTGTATTTGATGTAAACAGAACCATAATTTATAAAATAAACATATTCAGACTTGGAACTAGCAACTGAGACCATAAACTCATCGTGTAAGCATTTGCCGTAGTCACCGGCAATGCGAGCAGCAGGGTCATTTTCTCATACGCTTCTTTGAAAGCGGACTAGAATAGCCCCCCCCCCTGCTGGTCACTAGAAAGCATGTAAGTTTAAAATACTTCTGCTTTGGCTCCGCTTTTCAGAGCTAGACTGTTTTGTAAAAAAGATCTCTAAAACTGAGCAACTCACATTAATACAGTATTTGGAAAATAGCACTACAGGTCAGAGGACACTAATTAAAAAATAACTTAATGAAATCATATCCAGAAATCAATGTAATAAAAGAGATTTAGCTAACAGATCATTCTGAATGGCTCCAAAGATATACTGCTTCCAATCGAAACATTATGAAAACACGATGCAGTTTATTTGCAATACAATTAATCCTGTACATTGTAAAATGTGTCACCTAATCAACCTGCTAAAAAGCACAGAACCTCAGTTCATATCAAAGTTCATCTCATCCCATCAATCAGTCTTGTGATTACTTCCAGAAGTTTGAGACCTTCATGCATTTTCCTTTTTCTTTATTTCTGCAGAAAAAACGATCCAGCTGGGAGATCTGAAGCTCTGCATACAACTCGGGCACAGCGGGGCTACAGAAATTCCTGTCAGAGTCACAAGGGCGTTTGAGTTATCACGCGGTGGCCCACGAACAACCTCAGGGCTCTGACACAATTTTATGAATGAACATCAAGATGCCGGTTGTACAGTAATCTCTCCGGGCGGCAAAATGAGATCATCCAATAACTCAGCTACTGTGTAGGGGCCGACCCCGGTGAGATCGCGCCGGAGCCAAAACATGAGGTCACGGGGTAGGAGTGGAGTGCCTCCAAATTTTAAAATGATGTTGAAGATCGTTTGGAGCTCCGTGGTGGACCAAATGCAGTTGGAGAGGAAGGGGAGGAAATCAGTCTGAGGAACGGTGAATAATGGAGCTTAAAGTAGGTCTGCTTGTGCAAAAAGGAGACTGCTACAAGTTGTAAAATCTTTTTCATGCATGTCACCCACTGATGTAATATTAGCTGACGCTACTGTGCTTGAAACCAGGTTTCTCCCTGATATTATTCCAGACACATTTTTTGTAAAAGTCTCAAGCAAGGGCGGCCGCATTTTCAATAGATGTCAACTTTTTAAAACTTCTGGTACTGTACAGTAGACTTTTTAAAATCACCGTGTTTTGCAGGAAAAACAGGAAAAGAACATCTGAAACATAACTCTGACAGAGCGTCTGACACCTAATAGCACAGTGGCTCCACTACAGCCCTGGTGGATTTCAAATTCTTGGCAACTCACAAATCAGCACTTTCTCCCTGCTCCACTTAAAATACGGTTTGTGTGAGTGTGTGTGCGTGCTGTCAAGCGTCTGAGCCTTAAAGAGACTGAAAAATCGTTTCTCCAGACCTCTACGCTCAGCTCAGGTAGCAGTGTGCTGTTCAGAAGCAGTTCTCATCTCTGGAGTGGAGGCAGTAAACAAAAACAGCTGCAAAAATTGCAACCGACGACAGCTACGCTCGACAAACTGCAGGGCAATAAACAGATATTAAATGCCGTTACGTTTCAGCTCGGTGTTTATGGTATGCTAAGGTTCAACCGTTTGTTCTACCTCACACTGGAAAGATTTATGAATGCAAACATGTCGGACGGTTTGGCTAGTCTCTACATTTTGTGCTTATGTGTCACCTTTCAAGAGACTCGCTTAAAATGTCATGTTTTAAGATCTCAAAACATTTGGGAGGCAGCTTGTCGTTCACAGAAGGACTCGGGGTGAGAGGCTGCTGGCACGAACCAGTCGGTTTGATATAATACAACATCATATAACAACACTTCTGTCTAAAGCGACATGGGGATCACAGCAGAAGCGAACTCTGCGATGGTATCACACCGTTTTTATTGGCAGACACACAGTCTAGAACTAACGAATATTGTCATCCTGGCTTTGCTCCATGTGTCTGACAGTATTTCCCACTGACTGAACTGCTGAGCGCCGAAATGGCCTGTTTGTCATCGCAGTGTGTGTGAATGCTGGGGTCACAGCGAAGGAATGTGCTCGTGTGAATATAACAAGCAGTCAGCAGGGAGATGATAAAACGCCAGCCAAGATATCTAAGAGAGAACGGCTGAGCGAACAGTGACCTCTGTGGGGTCTGCATTAACTAGAGTTCAGTACCATCAATGCTCCTAAAGCTGTTGTAAAGGGGACTTATTATGTTCCCTTAATAGGCCCTTGATATTTTTCATGCGTGGTCGGAAGCAAGCAGATTTGGCCCCTCACAAACACAATGCTTGAATGGTAGTTATTAGGGTAATATGCATTCCTGAGATGACCATCATACAACCATTTCTATGGCATTTTATGACAGATGTTTAAAGAGAGTACCTGGTACATATATGATGCAAACTAAGCAAAAGCAGAATATGTCTTCTCTTATCTTTTTTAAAAATAGTGGAGAATCAGTTTAACTTACAGCCGCCATGGAGTTAATGCGGTCGATGTAGTAGTCGGGCCAGCTGGTGGCCAGCTTGTTGGGGTCCTCTTGCTCCTGCACATGGACACAAAGAAAGTGCTTTAATACCAAGTCAAAAAACATTCGCTTTCCCACAAAGCTAAAATGCTGATCACAGTTAGAAATTCCATTTCTTTTTATGAAGCAAAAATTAAGCATGTTGGTTCTTGCTCCTTTTATCAAGATTTCAGATGTCAGTCAGCTGGCCTGAGCACCGGCAGCAGACCCTGGGTTATCAAAGCATTGACGGTATGCTAATGGTAGTTGCTTGGTAATATATTTTATGCATTTTATTCCTCCACTTTGCATCATATTGCGATGTAAAAGCACTTTTCCATTTATTGTTTATTTATTATTTACTTTACAATATAAAGCATCTTGAGGCAAATGTTGTGATTTAGGCCGTATAAATAAATCTGAATTGAATTGAAATCTTCTTTCCAGTTACCATAGGAGACAGACCCTTTGTTACTTTGACAATTGCAGCTGGTGTTTAGAAATGCAGCAGCCAACTCACTAATGGTAATGACTGGTTATGACAATTACCAACACAAACCATCATTTTCTGAACAGACGTTACAATCACTAATCAAATGCATTTCATTTAAGCATGTTGGCTCTGCTAAATTAGCACAAAACGTCTGAAAACGCCTCATATTCAGCAACAAGTCTAAACAGCTATGAGTAAAGCTTGATACTGGTAGTTAGGGTGCAGAAGTAAACTTAACCAGAGTCAGCTGGTTTTAAAGTTCAGTTTATTTATTAGATCCACATTTGGATTATTAAGCCAAGCATTGTGAAGAAACACATCTATTATATCAATATTATTTTCCATCAGTCAGGAAAGGAAGTTATTATCAGTAGGACAGATACTTTGTGTAGTGAGATATTATTTCCACTGATTAATGCTGCCAACTAAGCAGCTAAAGCTGACATTAAACACAACAGACATGGCATTAATTAAGAGAGAAACTGCTGGGGTGGAGGTGGGTTGTAAAGTGGCTTGCATATCCCCAGCAACTGTGGGCAAGCTAAAGCCTCTTGGGTAGGGTATGCGATATGAGATTATGAGTTTTTGAAAATATTAAAAAAAATAATACTAATAATCTGAGTGAATATTTTTGCTTCTGTCAATCATGTGTCTTTTCCACAGAAGACATCATCACACTGGGGACCATATGTTTCCTGTTTGTGCCCGCCCCTCCCTTTTGTTTTCTACCTCGGCCACAAACGTCAACATCCACATGAAGACTAAATAGATCAGGCATGCCAGTCTATAATAATTAGGTCACAACATTTCAGATTCTTCATTCAAAAGAAGAACTGCCCAGAGGAATGAAGTGTGCAGCACAATTGTTTTCAAATAGCTCTGCCTGAGATCAATTTGTCCTGGCCAATTCGAGGATGCATGATGCCACAAACAAAACAAGGGGGAGTACAGAGACCACGTTCCTCATTCACATCTGGTCTTATTTAGCTTAAGCCTAGTGTACTGGTGGAGCATTATTGTTGTTTTTGTTACTGTGTGTATGCCAACAATAGTTGGAAAGTTAAAGTGTGCCGAATTAACTCAAATTTGAACAGCTTTGCATGATAACGTTTTTGCCAAAGCTTAAAGTATATTTTAAATATCTACATAAATATTAGAATTAGGCACCAGGACACTCTAGGCCGTAGGTCGATGATCGATTTTGTAATCGTATCAGCAGACCTGTGACCATATGTTCTGGACACTCGGGTAAAGAGAGGGGCTGAGCTGTCAACTGATCACCACCTGGTGGTGAGTTGGATCAGGTAGCGGGGGAGGACGCTGGACAGACCTGGTGCACCTAAACGCGTAGTGAGGGTGTACTGGGAACGTCTAGCAGAGGCCCCAGTCCGCGAGATCTTCAACGCACACCGGCAGAGCTTCAACAGCATTCTGAGGGAGACCGGGGACATTGAGTCCGAATGGACCATGTTCAGCGTCTCCATTGCCGAAGCTGCTGCATTGAGCTGCGGCCGCAAGGTGGTGGGTGCCTGCCGTGGTGGTAATCCCCGAACCAAATGGTGGACACCAGAGGTGAAGGGAGCCACCAGGCTGAAGAAGGAGTCCTATCGGGCTTGGTTAGCCTGTGGGATCCGGAGGCAGCCGACAGGTATCGACAGGCCAAGCGGAATGCGGCTCGGGCAGTGGCTGAAGCAAAAACTCGGGTGTGGGAGGAGTTCGGAGAGGCCATGGAAAAAGACTTTCGGACTGCCTCGAAGAGATTCTGGCAAACCGTCAGACGTCTCAGGAGGGGAAAGCGGTGCTCTACCTGCACTGTGTATAGTGCTGGCGGAGCGCTGCTGACGTCGACTGAGAAAATTGTCAGGCGGTGGAAGGAATACTTCAAGGACCTCCTTAATCCCACTGACACGTCTTCCGAGGAGGAAGCAGAGTCTGGGGATGAGGGGAATGACCCGCCAATTTCCGGGGGCGAGGTCACTGAGGCAGTTAAACAACTCCTTGGTGGCAGAGCCCCTGGTGTTGATGAGGTCCGCCCCGAGTTCCTGAAGGCTCTGGACGTTGTAGGGCTGTCCTGGTTGACACGCCTCTGCAATGTTGCGTGGAGATCAGGGGCAGTACCTGTGGACTGGCAGACCGGGGTGGTGGTCCCCATCTTTAAGAAAGGGGACCGGAGGGTGTGTTCCAACTACAGGGGGATCACACTCCTCAGCCTCCCTGGGAAAGTCTATGCCAGGGTGCTGGAAAGGAGAGTTCGTCCGTTAGTCGAACCTCGGATACAGGAGGAACAATGCGGTTTTCGTCCTGGTCGCGGAACACTGGACCAGCTCTTTATCCTCTCCAGGATACTTGAGGGTGCATGGGAGTTTGCCCAACCAGTCTACATGTGTTTTGTGGACTTGGAGAAGGCATTCGACCGTGTCCCTCGGGGTGTCCTGTGGGAGGTGTTGCGGGAATATGGGGTGTCTGGCCCATTGCTACGGGCCATTCGATCCCTATACAACCGTTGCAAGAGCTTGGTTCGCATTGCCGGCAATAAGTCGGACTCGTTCCCGGTGGGTGATGGGCTTCGCCAGGGCTGCCCTTTGTCTCCGGTTCTGTTCATAATTTTTATGGACAGGATTTCTAGGCGCAGCCAAGTGGCGGAGGGCTTTCGCTTTGGTGGCCTCAGAATCTCATCTCTGATTTTTGCAGATGATGTGGTTCTGTTGGCTTCATCGGGTGAAGGCCTCCAGCTCGCACTGGAACGGTTCGCAGCCGAGTGTGAAGCAGCGGGAATGAGGATCAGCACCTCCAAATCTGAGGCCATGGTTCTCAGCCGGAAAAGGGTGGAGTGCCCACTCCGGGTCGGGGATGAGTTCCTGCCCCAAGTGGAGGAGTTCAAGTATCTCGGGGTCTTGTTCGCGAGTGATGGGAGAAGGGAGCCGGAGATCGACAGACGGATTGGGGCTGCAGCTGCAGTAATGCGGACGTTGCACCGGTCCGTCGTGGTGAAGAGGGAGCTGAGTGTAAAAGCGAAGCTCTCAATTTACCGGTCGATCTACGTCCCTACCCTCACCTATGGCCACGAGCTGTGGGTAGTGACCGAAAGAACGAGATCGCGGATACAAGCGGCAGAAATGAGCTTCCTCCGAAGGGTGGCTGGCCTCTCCCTTAGAGATAGGGTGAGAAGTTCGGCCATCCGGGAGGGGCTCAGAGTAGAGCAGCTGCTGCTCCACATCGAAAGGAGCCAGCTGAGGTGGTTCGGGCATCTGACAAGGATGCCCCCTGGGCGCCTCCTGGGTGAGGTGTTCCAGGCATGTCCCACCGGGAGGAGGCCCCGGGGCAGACCCAGGACACGCTGGAGAGATTATATCTCTCGGCTGGCCTGGGAACGCCTTGGTATTCCCCCGGACAAGCTGGAGGAGGTGGCTGGGGAGAGGGAGGTCTGGGCCTCTTTGCTTAGGCTGCTGCCCCCGCGACCCGACCCCGGACAAAGCGGATGACGATGGATGGATGGATGGATGGATGGATGGATATTAGAATTTTTCTTCTTCTGCAAATTTCAGGGAAAATGTTTTTAATGATTTTTTATGCAGGGTCAAACACTGCATTAGAGAGGTTCACATAGGCAGATTTTCTGCACATGAAGGTATTAAACCTGCATAAATCCAATACAAAAGAATACAACTTTACAAGGCCGTAAATCAGTTTAAGAATAAATTCTATTAAAAAAAAAAAAAAAGTTAATGCTTTGTCTGTTTTCGGTCTAACTTTATTAACTTCAAAGGAATTCTTGCAGTAGAAAGCAGTCAGTTGTCTCTGTGTTCCTTCCTGATGTGAAAAAAAACCCCCTATATTTTATAGTACCCATTCCCTCCATAATTTAAAATGCTGCTTCAATATTTGCATGGTGGCCCCATTTCTGTTGATTAAGCCACAAAAACTCTTTTCTGGGACCAACACCAGATATAAAATCCTCTTATTATCTACAGAAACTAATTGAAGCTCAAATGTGGGCATAAAAAAGAGCTGCAAAATCAGCATTTCCACTTATTTATGAATCGCATACGCTCTAGCAGCTATACTTATGTCTAAGTTTGGTTAAAGTGGATTTCAGGCCTCATAATAACCATTGTTTCTGATCCCCAGCATTCTTTGCCAACATGGATTTAAAGCTAGGCTAAAACAAAAACAATAGCACTCAGTGTGCTACTCAGACTGTGTTTTCCAGTGTTCTGCTGACACATTCAGGACGCGATGCCAGACAGATCCTGACGCTGAGATTAACAACTTAACTGCCTCCTTCTGACCCTCGAGCCGAATAACAGTCGTCAACACACCCTCAAAAACTGTCCAATGTAACATTTACTTTGGCAGTTTCATGAGCTTAAAGTAAAGTACTATAATTTGCGTCGTGTTTTTGGACAAATGAAAAATAGTGACAGCATGAGGTTTGTTTCGGCCAGTCTAGTCATATCAGTGCACACACTTCCTCAATTTTCTGCCCCTTTCACGACATTTCTAAGAGGTGAAGTGATGGTAAGTTTGTTCTTGTGCTCTGCTTGCT